TCCCACCTCGTCCAGGTACCATCCCAGGTTCTCTCCCACCTCGTCCAGGTACCATCCCAGGTTCTCTCCCACCTCGTCCAGGTACCATCCCAGGTTCTCTCCCACCTCGTCCAAGTACCATCCCAGGTTCTCTCCCACCTCGTCTAGGTACCATCCCAGGTTCTCTCCCACCTCGTCCAGGTACCATCCCAGGTTCTCTCCCACCTCGTCCAGGGTTCCATCCCAGGTTCTCTAGGTTATTATTCATACTAGATTTCCGTAAACTTTATAAATTTATATAAATTTCACTAATTATTAGCAATATATAATAATAATAATCATTATTTCAACCAACCGGCCGTATCCCACCGAGGCCGGGTAACATAAAAAGAAAATTTACGTTTTTCTCTTAAATTTAATAATTTATGCAGAAGGGGTTACTAGCCACTTGCTCCCAGCATTCTAGTCGCCTCTTACGACATACATGGATTTTTTTCTACTTCCCCATAGATCACACTCAACACGAGCACCTCTTCCTCCTGCAGGAGTTGAGAGCGACAGACACTGAGAATGGTGCAGTTAGCGACGCCTCTGACCTGTTTGGTGATGGTCACTCTAGCAGTAGCCAAGCCACAACTGAGCTCCGGTATGTGATCAAAGTTAAAAACCTCGTAATACTATATAAATATTTATTAAGATTTTATTATATGGGAATGATTTTGTCATTACTGTTGTTATAAATGCGACTTTTTTTAAATTTTTGGATTTTTGATAAATTTCACTAATTCTTAACATTGCATTATTAATATATACATATGGAAATGCTACACTCGTAAGGGTCAGACGGTCATTGGGGAATGGGAGTTAATCGGGTTTGATGTAAGCGAAGGGCATAATAGCTCGGATTTCACTGATCAATAGCCCTTCGCCAGCATTTCGGCACCCCTGTCAAGGAAACTTTATAGAGCTAGCCCTGTAATTGTTCCTGGGGTTTATAGAGCCACCAAAGCTCTGGTTCCTGGCAGTTTTTGTACAGTGTCTTACCCATATGTGAGCAGTAATTGGAAATAATCAAATTTACTCCGGTAGCGGAAGCTGGAACAATTGTTCCCGATTAAATCAGGTGGATTCCCTCGTCTAAACCCCGACAAGAGCCAGATGTCCACGCTCTCTCATCCGAGTTAACAACCGGGTTTCCTCTTGCCTGGAAATCTGCGAAGAGGAAACGGGAGCTGATGTATGACTCCCGGACCAGTTGCTCAGCGGGTTGTGAATAATGAAGGCAAGCATCCTGGGGAGAACAGGAAAAATTCGTCACCGATGCTCAGAGCAGTGGTAGAGTGTGATGTCCGTGTACCATCAAGGCTCTTGCCACCAGCCCCGTGGCCTGGTCACTAAAGCTCTCGCTTCACACGCTGAGCCCGAGTTCGATTCCCGGCGAGGGTAGAAACTTTGGGCGTGTTTCCTTACACCGGTTATCTATGCTCCCCATCAGTAAAATGGGTACCTGGGAGTTAGTGGACTGGTGTGAGTCGCATCCTGGGACAAAACTGACCTAATTTGCGGGAAATCCTCAGTATAACAAGCAACTTTCTATATAGTAGTATGTCATTGATGTCAGCTATGGTCTGTATACCTTGTACATGTACTGGTAGTAAACAAAGATATTATATATACGTAATATAAACATACATACAACGAGAAAATTGAATATTAACGTTTTTCAATGTACACCTTTGAATGTGTACTTCCTGTGGTACAGTTGGTATTCCCCAGCACTTGTCTATGTACCTTCTACTACTACCATTACTAGTATATATTAGATGTTAAGGTTAGGATCTCTCGACAAGAGGAATTATTCGGCTGCAACTATGACCTACTAATTATAATATTTCCAGTTGTATAAGTGTAATCAAAGACAGTATCTGGATTACACTGGATAATGTAACGTGTAATCACAGTTGTGTTGTAAGTGAATAACACTGTCAAGTATACTTCAGAAAGAGACTTTCAGTGTATAATCTGCCTTCAACGAAGATTTCTTTAAAACAGATGAGACACTCTACATCCAATGAACTGGAGCCACTCTCCCCTTTCTTAGCTCATACCTAATTAACCCCCATTTCCCATTCGTTATGTGACTCCAAAGAAATATAACGCTTCATCATGTATATGTGGTGCCTAATAAGTAAAATTGGTCAATTAGCAAGAACTCATTTAAAATTAAGTCCTTTCTAAAACTTTTTCTTATAGATTTAAAGATTTTTTTTCGTTGATGTTAATATAAAAATTAATGATTTTGTACCAAAAGAACCTTAGGAAACTTACCTAACCTTATTATAAAAAGCATAACTTAATTTAACCAAATCTAGCTAAATATATTTTACATATGTTTTTAATAATTTAATAATAAGCAAACACAATGAAATATATTTTTTCGTTAGGTTCGTAATGATTTTTGCGAAATTATTGTGTACATAAATTTTTGCTTCTCTTATTCGGCAAGAAGAGCGTTGATATTTAAGGAAAAATAGCAAGTTTTACCTATTCGGCGCGACAATTATATATATATATATATATTATATATATATATATATATATATATATTATATATATATATATATATATTATATATATAGGTAGCAGGTTGGTAGACAGCAACCACCCAGGGAAGTACTACCGTCCTGCCAGATGACTGTGAAACAAAAACCTGTAACTGTTTTGCATGATGGTAGGATTGCTGGTTTTCTTTTTCTGTCTCATAAACACGCTAGATAACAGGGATATCTTGCTACTCCTACTTACACTTTGGTCACACTTCACAGACACGCACATGCATATATATATATACATACATCTAGGTTTTTCTCCTTTTTCTAAATAGCTCTTGTTCTTTTTTTATTTCTTCTATTGTCCATGGGGAAGTGGAAAAGAATCTTTCCTCCGTAAGCCATGCGTGTCGTATGAGGCGACTAAAATGCCGGGAGCAATGGGCTAGTAACCCCTTCTCCTGTATACATTTACTAAAAAAGAGAAGAAAAACTTTATAAAACTGGGTTGTTTAAATGTGCGTGGATGTAGTGCGGATGACAAGAAACAGATGATTGCTGATGTTATGAATGAAAAGAAGTTGGATGTCCTGGCTCTAAGCGAAACAAAGCTGAAGGGGGTAGGAGAGTTTCAGTGGGGGGAAATAAATGGGATTAAATCTGGAGTATCTGAGAGAGTTAGAGCAAAGGAAGGGGTAGCAGTAATGTTAAATGATCAGTTATGGAAGGAGAAAAGAGAATATGAATGTGTAAATTCGAGAATTATGTGGATTAAAGTAAAGGTTGGATGCGAGAAGTGGGTCATAATAAGCGTGTATACACCTGGAGAAGAGAGGAATGCAGAGGAGAGAGAGAGATTTTGGGAGATGTTAAGTGAATGTATAGGAGCCTTTGAACCAAGTGAGAGAGTAATTGTGGTAGGGGACCTGAATGCTAAAGTAGGAGAAACTTTTAGAGAGGGTGTGGTAGGTAAGTTTGGGGTGCCAGGTGTAAATGATAATGGGAGCCCTTTGATTGAACTTTGTATAGAAAGGGGTTTAGTTATAGGTAATACATATTTTAAGAAAAAGAGGATAAATAAGTATACACGATATGATGTAGGGCGAAATGACAGTAGTTTGTTGGATTATGTATTGGTAGATAAAAGACTGTTGAGTAGACTTCAGGATGTACATGTTTATAGAGGGGCCACAGATATATCAGATCACTTTCTAGTTGTAGCTACACTGAGAGTAAAAGGTAGATGGGATACAAGGAGAATAGAAGCATCAGGGAAGAGAGAGGTGAAGGTTTATAAACTAAAAGAGGAGGCAGTTAGGGTAAGATATAAACAGCTATTGGAGGATAGATGGGCTAATGAGAGCATAGGCAATGGGGTCGAAGAGGAATGGGGTAGGTTTAAAAATGTAGTGTTAGAGTGTTCAGCAGAAGTTTGTGGTTACAGGAAAGTGGGTGCAGGAGGGAAGAGGAGCGATTGGTGGAATGATGATGTAAAGAGAGTAGTAAGGGAGAAAAAGTTAGCATATGAGAAGTTTTTACAAAGTAGAATTTGATGCAAGGAGGGAAGAGTATATGGAGAAAAAGAGAGAGGTTAAGAGAGTTGGTGAAGCAATGTAAAAAGAGAGCAAATGAGAGAGTGGGTGAGATGTTATCAACAAATTTTGTTGAAAATAAGAAAAAGTTTTGGAGTGAGATTAACAAGTTAAGGAAGCCTAGAGAACAAATGGATTTGTCAGTTAAAAATAGGAGAGAGAGTTATTAAATGGAGAGTTAGATGTATTGGGAAGATGGAGGGAATATTTTGAGGAATTGTTAAATGTTGATGAAGATAGGGAAGCTGTGATTTCGTGTATAGGGCAAGGAGGAATAACATCTTGTAGGAGTGAGAAAGAGCCAGTTGTGAGTGTGGGGGAAGTTCGTGAGGCAGTAGGTAAAATGAAAGGGGGTAAGGCAGCCGGGATTGATGGGATAAAGATAGAAATGTTAAAAGCAGGTGGGGATATAGTTTTGGAGTGGTTGGTGCAATTATTTAATAAATGTATGGAAGAGGGTAAGGTACCCAGGGATTGGCAGAGAGCATGCATAGTTCCTTTGTATAAAGGCAAAGGGGATAAAAGAGAGTGCAAAAATTATAGGGGGATAAGTCTGTTGAGTGTACCCGGTAAAGTGTATGGTAGAGTTATAATTGAAAGAATTAAGAGTAAGACGGAGAATAGGATAGCAGATGAACAAGGAGGCTTTAGGAAAGGTAGGGGGTGTGTGGACCAGGCGTTTACAGTGAAACATATAAGTGAACAGTATTTAGATAAGGCTAAAGAGGTCTTTGTGGCATTTATGGATTTGGAAAAGGCGTATGACAGGGTGGATAGGGGGGCAATGTGGCAGATGTTGCAAGTGTATGGTGTAGGAGGTAGGTTACTGAAAGCAGTGAAGAGTTTTTACGAGGATAGTGAGGCTCAAGTTAGAGTATTGTAGGAAAGAGGGAAATTTTTTCCCAGTAAAAGTAGGCCTTAGACAAGGATGTGTGATGTCACCGTGGTTGTTTAATATATTACGCCTGTCATACGCCTTGGAAAAGGCGTATGACAGAGTGGATAGGGGGGCAATGTGGCAGATGTTGCAAGTGTATGGTGTAGGAGGTAGGTTACTGAAAGCAGTGAAGAGTTTTTACGAGGATAGTGAGGCTCAAGTTAGAGTATGTAGGAAAGAGGGAAATTTTTTCCCAGTAAAAGTAGGCCTTAGACAAGGATGTGTGATGTCACCGTGGTTGTTTAATATATTTATAGATGGGGTTGTAAGAGAAGTAAATGCGAGGGTCTTGGCAAGAGGCGTGGAGTTAAAAGATAAAGAATCACACACAAAGTGGGAGTTGTCACAGCTGCTCTTTGCTGATGACACTGTGCTCTTGGGAGATTCTGAAGAGAAGCTGCAGAGATTGGTGGATGAATTTGGTAGGGTTTACCTGGAGTTTACCTGGAGAGAGTTTCGGGGGTCAACGCCCCCGCGGCCCGGTCTGTGACCAGGCCGCAAAAGAAGAAAATTAAAGGTGAATACAGGAAAGAGTAAGGTTATGAGGATAACAAAAAGATTAGGTGATGAAAGATTGAATATCAGATTGGAGGGAGAGAGTATGGAGGAGGTGAACGTATTCAGATATTTGGGAGTGGACGTGTCAGCGGATGGGTCTATGAAAGATGAGGTGAATCATAGAATTGATGAGGGAAAAAGAGTGAGTGGTGCACTTAGGAGTCTGTGGAGACAAAGAACTTTGTCCTTGGAGGCAAAGAGGGGAATGTATGAGAGTATAGTTTTACCAACGCTCTTATATGGGTGTGAAGCATGGGTGATGAATGTTGCAGCGAGGAGAAGGCTGGAGGCAGTGGAGATGTCATGTCTGAGGGCAATGTGTGGTGTGAATATAATGCAGAGAATTCGTAGTTTGGAAGTTAGGAGGAGGTGCGGGATTACCAAAACTGTTGTCCAGAGGGCTGAGGAAGGGTTGTTGAGGTGGTTCGGACATGTAGAGAGAATGGAGCGAAACAGAATGACTTCAAGAGTGTATCAGTCTGTAGTGGAAGGAAGGCGGGGTAGGGGTCGGCCTAGGAAGGGTTGGAGGGAGGGGGTAAAGGAGGTTTTGTGTGCGAGGGGCTTGGACTTCCAGCAGGCATGCGTGAGCGTGTTTGATAGGAGTGAATGGAGACAAATGGTTTTTAATACTTGACGTGCTGTTGGAGTGTGAGCAAAGTAACATTTATGAAGGGATTCAGGGAAACCGGCAGGCCGGACTTGAGTCCTGGAGATGGGAAGTACAGTGCCTGCACTCTGAAGGAGGGGTGTTAATGTTGCAGTTTAAAAACTGTAGTGTAAAGCACCCTTCTGGCAAGACAGTGATGGAGTGAATGATGGTGAAAGTTTTTCTTTTTCGGGCCACCCTGCCTTGGTGGGAATCGGCCAGTGTGATAATGATAATAAAAAATATATATATATATATATATATATATATATATATATATATATATATATATATATATATATATATATATATATATATATATATATATATCTTTCTTTCAACACACCGGCCGTATCCCACCGAGGCGGGGTGGCCCAAAAGGAAAAACGAAAGTTTCTCCTTTTACATTTAGTAATATATACAGGAGAAGAGGTTACTAGCCCCTTGCTCCCGGCATTTTAGTTGCCTCTTACAACACGCATGGCTTACGGAGGAAGAATTCTGTTCCACTTCCCCATGGAGATAAGAGGAAATAAACAAGAATAAGAACTAGAAAGAAAATAGAAGAAAACCCAGAGGGGTGTGTATATATGTGCTTGTACATGTATGTGTAGTGTGACCTAAGTGTAAGTAGAAGTAGCAAGACGTACCTGAAATCTTGCATGTTCATGAGACAGAAAAAAGGACACCAGCAATCCTACCATCATGTAAAACAATTACAGGCTTTCGTTTTACACTCACTTGGCAGGACGGTAGTACCTCCCTGGGCGGTTGCTGTCTACCAACCTACTACCTATATATATATATATATATATATATATATATATATATATATATATATATATATATATATATATATAGCATGCACTAGCTTCCATGGCTACATTTTAATCGATAAAGATACTACTACTACTAATTTTATTATTTATGAGACTAAAGCCGTAGGGGTCATACACCGCCTAAGCCCTAAGGAATGTGAGGTAACTACTGCTTATTTCGGCAGGTATGTACATTGGTGTATATATACTCTGAGAGGTATATTTCTCTGTACTGTACATACAGCGAGAGGTGTGTCTCAGTGTATATATATCGAGAGGTATCTCGTCATTGTATATACACCGAGGTATGTATCTCCCAGTGAATATACACTGTGAGGTGCAAAGCTGTGTGAGGAGTGGTGTGTCAGTATATATTCACTGAGGCGTGTATATCACACTGTATACACACTAACAACTTACTCTAATCATTTCCTCAGGGACTGAAGTATTTACGAAGTTAGTATCTAGAATTCTTGGTAAAGTGTTGCTTAATGACTTGAATGTAAACTTCTGAAGTCTAACACACTAGCTGAAGGTCACTATAACCTAGTTACTCTTACAGTATCCATTCCCCCAGGATCTGTTTCGCAAAGACTGGATACACTCCGGGATGTTATCCAAGCTGGTAGAATTCCAGGTACAGTAACACATATGCAGTTGTATGAACACAAAGCCAGGCGTTTATTGGGACATAATTTCACTGCCTCCTCCTCCTTGATTCACCGGTATTCTCCCGGTACGGGCCTTTTCCAGATGGTGACCTGGCCTTGGCTCCCTGTCTTGGGAGTGTTCGAGACCTATGTCTGTCATGGGAGAAGGTACAAGTACCTCCTCATCTTCTGGGACCAACTGTCCCCAGGCCTAACCCCGGTCCCCCAGTTTCACTGTGTGGAGCTTCATCATATTAAAACTTTACGAAGCTCGGTTAATATTGAGTTTAACTACTGCCGATGTGCATTATGTAAATTCTTTAATATTAAGTGAGCCATGTGACTGAAACATAAACTTTGGTCTTATGGGGAAAAATATTTTTAATAACCATAAAAAGTATAGATCAATATAATCTAACTTAACTTTAAAGTCTTAATCTGGGCTTAGTTAGGCTAGGTTGGAACTTTTTTTTTTTTTGGGGGGGGGGGACTCTTGATCTAGAGAACTGGATCTATTCTCCAGTTCCCTGAATTAAGCCTGAATGCCTTCCACCCCACAGGTGCTGTATAATCCCTATGGTTTTAGCTCTCCCCCATAATAATAATAATAATAATAATCCTACACTATAAACTCAGAGAATAGTGTAGAGGCACACTATTCGAACAATGTAACTCACACAGACTAGCTGCACTTCGACTGTTTTGGGGTGGTTATCCTAGGTAATTTTCACATGTTACTCTTATGATAATTATACTTATGTGTACCTGTACTTAAATATACTTGAACGTTACGAGTATTCCCAGGATGTAATTTACCTCGAATACGAGAGCAGTGTCGGGATAATTATTTTAAAATAAGCCAAACTTTTGCTATCAGTTATCCCTCTGCCATCAACATCAAGTGGATCAACTCGGTGTCGTGAAGACTGTGTCAAGATATACATGCCAGTCTGTGCCAGTAACGGCAGGACCTATAACAACAAGTGTATCCTGGAGGCTGAGAGCTGCAAGGACCGCAGAGCAGGAGGAACAGGATTCGTACAAGTTGCAGACGTTGCTTGTGGTAAGTGAGGTAGCAGAGATGAAAGGTTAAAATAAGTAGGAGTGCTTTGTTTATCGGTAGTTAGGGGTAGATTTCTTCTAGAGGCCTCCAGGAGTAGAAAACTCTCGGAACTCATCAAAGGTATGTCAAGGGTGTAAGTCATACGATGACCAGCTTAGTTGTGTGTCATACAATGACCAGCTTACAGCTTAGTTGTGTTTTTAGTCATTTGGCAGAATCTTGCGTTGATTTACAGCTCCAGTGGTTTAAAAATAAATATTACATAACAGGATGTGATATGTAGGCTTTCCTACACAACCCAGAATCAACACATATTTTTCCATAACCTTGTCATCTAAGGTAAAAATTTGTAAAGTAAAAGGACACAAGTGCAACTAATGTGACATTTATTGTGGCAACGTTTCGCTCTCCAGGAGCTTTATCAAGCCATTATCAAGCTAATGGCTTGATAAAGCTCCTGGAGAGCGAAACGTTGCCACAATAAATGTCACATTAGTTGCACTTGTGTCCTTTTACTTTACATATTGTCGGTAATTCTACCAACTTTATTACAAGGTAAAAATTGTTGATCAGGCTCTGATCCACCAGGAGGCCTGGTCACAGACCGGGCCACGGGGGCGTTGACCCCCGGAACTCTCTCCAGGTAAACTACTTTACCTTCAAAAAAAAGAAATCTTATAAAAAACAAGACCCAAGTACCCTTTTTTGTCCAGTATAAAAACGTAAACCAATTCCCCTTTTTCAGTTGTTAAAAAAAAAAAAGATTATCCTTTTTTCCTCCCCAATTTAAAACCTTTTTTTTTTTTGTTTAAAAATAATAATTTTTTCTTTTTGGGAGGGGTTTTCCATATTATTCAAAAAAACAATTTTGGGGAAAAACGGGTTTATTTTTACATATAACAGGAAACAAACCCTTTAAAACAGCTCCCCAGGTACACATAATTAATTTTAAGACTTATATGCTTTCCCTTTTGCAATTAAGAATAATTTTTAAAAAAAAAAACCTTTTGAAATTGATTTTTAAAACCGAGTTAAAACATTATTAATTCATTTAAACTGTCTTACAAAGCGTGTAGACTCAGTGCAAAAATTTAAAAAATTTCTTTGAGGGGTAACTGAAACAATTTTTTCCTACATTAAAGGGCGACAAAAATTGGGCCAGAAAGACTGGGGGGAGATTTAACCAGCCGTTGTGGGCCCAAACGGGTAACTTACGACAACAAGTGTGAACTCTCCCATCGCTAGCTGCGTTTCGCCCCCTACTTTTGGGCCAGCGAAATAAAGGGAAAGTCTGTGGGAGTAGACAAACCTTATCTCACTAAAAGGGGACCCAAAAAAGAGTTTAATTTAAATATTCTCAAAGTGGGGGAAAAAGTTTTTTACAACCCAAATAACCTCGTGTAGTTTATAGGGGGTTTAAACTCAATTAAGCACTCTGAAATAGGCATAGGGTTGGTAGTAATATTAAAAAAAATTTTCTAGGCTATTTCAGCAAATAGTTTTTGTTTCGATCTTGGTCCCCCCTAATAAACTTAAAGTCACAAAGCTACAAAACCCCACATTGTAATTCATAATATCCTTATTGTCCAAAGTCCCCCAGCAGACCTGAGACTTCTTACTTCCTTTTGTGAGACCCATCCTCCGTAAAGGGAGTAAATAGAAAAAAGATAGCGTATACTAGAGTAACAAACACACTGCAATGAAAACCACCATTTTCCCCTTTTTTTTTTATTTTTCGCCGGTTTTTCTTTCCGGGCCCCGGGGGTTTTTTTCCAATTTTTTTGGTGCCCGGGATTTTTGGCTCCCTATCGGGGGATTTTCCTCGAGACCAAAGGGTCTCCCAGGGAAAGGAGGAACAAGTAACCCCTCATTTTGGGGAAAATAATACATATGTCATTCGTTTCCCTGACCACTCGGTGAGGTTGGGGCCTGCACCCCTCGCTGTTTCAGGCGAGCTACCTGTTTTAAAACAGGGGCGCTGAGTGTGAGGGGGCCCGAAAATTTACCTTTGGTATTGACTGCTTCGTGGGGCGATTTCGCCCTCTTCAGTGCAATTTATTACTCCCAAAAATTCATCAGGGAGACCTAGGGAAACCCAGGATGATGGGGTGAAATGGTGTAGCCCTGAAGGGGTTTATAAAAATCTCGTCAAATTAAAATTCCACGTCCGTGTATGAGTCTTTGGTGACGAGATTCCAAGACGTGAGTTTTGACCTCCCTCCAGCTGTGAAGGTCGTTTAAATCGCCGAAACTCGCCATTTTAAACGGGGGTTTTAAGATACGTAATTTCCCATTTAGGCAGATGAGGCTAACAAAGGGAGGTTTTTGAGACATATGGGCCCGTAAATCTGGCACAAAAGGGCAATGGAGGGCAGGGGGCTTACATGGGACGTCCGGGGGGTACCTTTTCCCGAAGATGACTCTGAGACACCCCAAAACCGTTTTACGTCGTTTGAGGATTTCGGGACGCAAGTTTTTGGTATCGATCCCGGACAAAAGACGTACTGCAAAAATATGGGGGCGACGACCTTTATGGCGGCAGAGTGCGTAAAAGCGAGGAGGGCCCCACCCAAACCGGGTGAAGCACCATTACCACGTGATAGCTTTTTTTTTTTTTTTTTTTTTTTTTTTTTTTTTGGAGAGCCCAGTGGAAAGAAAGGGGCCTGGGCGCTTGTGGAGTGAAAGGGGGGAGGTTTCCCAAAGAAGACGGGCATGTGTAAAGGTAAGCTGTAAATGTAAAAGGATCTGTTTACAAAACAAAAAGGGAAAAGTACAGAAGTGCAAGTGCAGGAGGAGGTCGGCTCAAAGGGGAAAGGGAGCTTCAGAAGTGTTAAGGACTTTTGGACACCGCCTGCAAGGTTTGTTCCTGACTGGTAAAGGGGCACGGCATTGCCTGTAGGGGAATTTTAAGGACAAAACACTAGCAGGGTTGAGGGGCCAACTAGCAAGAGAAAATTGTCGCCGTGGGGTGGAAGGGGGGCGGGGTGGAGGTTGGGTTTTTAAACGTGAGGGAACCTCAGAAGAAAAACAAATATAGAGGGCATCACGAGGAAGAGAGCGGCGGCGCGACTCAGATATGTTCTAAACGCCGCCAGGGGGCTGGGGGGAAAGGACGAGCACTGCCCGAAGTAGTATGATAAGAGGCATCGCAAAAAAGGGGGGGGGGGTTGAGGTGGGAACCCTTTTGGGGGGGGGGCCGGGGGGGGGCTTGGGGGGGGGCCCTGGGATGAATAAGAAGGGAAAAAGGGTTGGAAACTAAAAAAGGGGCCTTAGGTGTAACGGTGAACGCCAATGATTGTGTAATAGTGTGAAGAAGGAAGGGTTTTTCGAAATTTTTCCTGTATAAACATGGGGGGGGAATGTAGTTTTTCCGCAAGAACAAAAATTTCAAGGGGGGAAAGAGTGTCGAGGTGGGGGGGTTTTTTCCAGGTTATGACTCTCCATCTGACTCTGAAAGGGGGTGGGGGGATTTTGGATCGGGGAGGCAAACCCCGTTTGTGTTGCTAAAAGTGAGGGGGGGGGGGGGGAAGAATTTTGCGCGGGATGGGGGGTGAGGGGCAAAAGGGTTTTTTTTTGTGAGTGTGAGGCACCAGCAGAAAATGAGTGAGGGAAAAAAAGGGGATTTTGTATTGAAGAACTATTTTTTTTTTACGGGGGTTTACCACATTTGGCCGCGTTGGTGGGACGGGAACTGCGTTATTAGGGGGGCTGACTGGAACCAAAAGGGGCGGGGCACGTTCGGCCCCTTTGGGCGAGATTTTTTTGAGAGTTTTATCAGTTGGGGGATGCGGTTGGAGGGGGGCGTGGGGGGGTAAAAAACCCCACTTTTGTAAAAAGGGGGGTTTACGCTGCTGGGTTTGGATAGGCTGTATAAATCTAAAGGGGTTGGGTTGACATTTTTCCGAAACCAATAGAATTTAGCTTATTCGGACATCGGGCGGTAGTGGGCCAAGGTGGCGTGGGAGTCACTACCGGAATATCTAGGGGTTTTTGGGAAAATTTAAAATTTAAAAAAGTGTGTTGGGTTTGGAGGGGGGGGGGGGGGGGGGGGGGGGGAATAGGGGGATTTGAAATGCTGTGGGGGGGGTTTTAAGTGCAGAAAAAGGGGGTAGGGGAAGTGGGGGGATGGTGTGGCAAAGAAGGGGATCAAGCAAAATTACGTAAAAAAGGGGAAAAACGTATCAATTTTTTAAAAATTGGGCTTGCAAACTTTTGGGAGGATAGTTTGGGGGGTTTGCATGGGGGGGGGTGGTGGCCCCCCATTACCATGGATGAAAATTATGGAAATTAAAAGGGGAGACTGCGGGGGTACGGGATAAAGGGGTTTCCAAGCGTGCGGGTAAAAGGCGGGGTGGAAAAAGGTGTTTTTGGGGCGATAGACCTTAAACGTGCGTATTGCGTAGGCAGAAACAAAGACAGCAGGCAATGACTTTTCCCCAGGGTTTTGGAGGTTCAGAGTCGATAGGTACAGGGGGGGGGGGCAGGGCCCAAAAAAGCTAAAGGAAGAATGGGGGGGTTTGGGTTTCAATGGTAAAGAAAGAAATGGAAAAAGGAAGGGGGGAAATGGGGTTTTTTGGGACAGGTTGGGGAGTGTGGGATGTCAGTTGCCGTAACATGATAGGGAACACGGGGGGGGAAAAAAACCGAGGGGAAATATGGAGGGCTTTAAAATGAATGGGAAAGGGGAAAAACACCGGGAAAATTTTATGGCTCCCGGCAGAGTTTTTCAGCACATTGGGAATTAATGAGGGTTTTTTGGTTTGGGTTTTTAAAATTTCATGGGAAAGGGGAGAGGTACTGGGGGAGAAGCAGGGAACGGGTGTCGTTTTATTGGTAAAACCCAAAAAAAGGGGCCCGCATACGCTTCCGGGGTTACCGGCGATCTCGTTGTTATCGCAAATTTTAAAAATTTTTTGCGAAGATTTTGGGGAAAACGGGTCAAGTGTGTGGTGGGGGGGGGAGTATCAAAAACTCCCTTTTTGGTTTTCCAGGGGGGTCCATTTTGGAGGGGGGGTTGGGGTTTCTTAGGGGTTTCGTGGAGCAAAAGGGGGGGGGGGAGGGGGTTTTTGGGCGCCCGATTGGCAAGGGGGATACGATAGAGGGATAGGAAACATTTAAAAACCATCCTAAGGGGGCAGGGGTTTTGGGGGTGAAATAGTGGGTTGGGGGGGGGGGCGTTGTATGGAGGTGCAATAGCGAGGGTACAGATTAATGGCGATTGGGTGGAAGAAATTTAATGGGTTTGGGGAATTGGCAGGGGTGTCCTATGTCACAATTTTTTGTTTGCGTGCCCAAAAGGACCCCTTTTTAAAAGATTGGGGGAGGGGACGTATGGGGTCACGTAGAGGGACCAGGGTGTGCGGTTTCGAGGGTTTTGGGCCCGTTTTTTTTGGGTATGTGGAAGAAAACAACTGTTCTGATCAGGGAGGGGGTGTCAAAGGGCACATTAGACGGGGTAGAAAAAAAGTTTGCAGGGAACTGGGATGAGGTAAATTTTGATAAAACCATTTTATGGGGTTAGGGGCTGGGCCGATAGGGGTTTATTGGGGTATGCATTGTGGGGGGGGCAGGTGAAAACCCCCCTTTGTTAAAAATTTGCGGGCTGATTTATGCAGACGAAACTAACTGTGGCACGCACGGAAAACTCGATTAGGGTGGTAGAAAGGAAATTTAGGGGCGCTTTGGGGCCCTTGCGACCCCTTTTCATTTTGACCCTTGTGCAAAACGGCCATTGCTATTAATAAACTTCCCGATAGCCAAAATATGGGACTGGGAGCCGTGTTTTCCCCTTTAAATGGGGGCCCGCAATAAGAACATACTTTGGAAGGTTTTTTAAATTTCTTGTGGGGTTCGAGCTGTGATTAATTAAAAGGGATGTTGGGAATGTTACCTGTAAGTAAAAGGGGGGGTGGGATTTTCTGGACTTTAAAACGGGGGGCAAATGTGTCTTCATTAAAAGGGGGGTGATGAGGGGAAAAGTGGGTTTGGGGGGGGGTTTTGGGCCCGGATTTCCCCCAAAAGATTTCAACGGGTGAAAACAGGAGTTGAGTTGCATGGTTTTGAAAATTGTTGAGGGGTCTGGCGTGGGATCGAGAGCCGCAAAGGTTAAAAAAAGGTAGGGGGGTTTTAGAATTTTTAGCCGGGAGGGTTGTAAACCCTGTAGAGGGAATTTTCCCCAAAGTAAGCATGGGGAAGTTTATGGAAATTTGGTTTTAGTTAGGTGAGGTTGCAACCTCGTGTTCGGGAAAGTCATGTATCGTTTTTTTTGCACGGGATTTTAAACCCTCGGTGTGGTTTACGGGATAGACCCAGCCCCTTGACGGGGGGGGGTGGGGATAGTGGTGGGGGGGGGGGGGGGGGGGGGGGGGGGCCGGGGGGGGGGGGAAAGGATGGGCTTTCCATGGGGGGGAGGAAATTTTTGGGTTAAAGGCAGAATTCAAAAGGGGTTTGGGGGGGAAAGGGTTTTAAAAAAGGGGGAAAGGAGGGGTTTGGGAAATTCCTTGGGATGAGAAAAAAAATTTATGGGGGGTGGGAAAGGAAATTTTAAAAAGGGGGTTGGGAAACTTAGGGCAAAATTTTTTAATTTAAAATAGGGGGAGGGGGGGAAAAAGGTTCTGGGGTGGGGGAAGGGGGAAAAGGGGGTTCCCCGGGAAGGGTTCAAAAAACGGGTTTGGAGAAATTAAAGGAAAATTTAAAGGGGTGGGTGAAGGGATTTTTTTGGTTAATTTGGCAAACTTTTAAGTTCCCGGGTTTTAATTTGATTTTGGTAATATTAAGGGGGGGGGGGTAACCATTGGGGAAAAGGGGGGGGGGGGGAAAGGGGGGCCAATTTTTGGGAAAACAGGGGGGTCCTGGTTGAAATGGAGAAAACCCCAAATGTTTGCGGATGGGATTTAAGAATTGGCCTTTTAATTTAAATTTTTTAAAACCCGTGTGGGCATTTAACTGGCCCAAAAATTTTTTGTTAAATGGACATACACTTAATTTATATTTTTATTTGTTTCCTTTCAAGGTATAAATGATGATGGATTGGGGTTTAGGGGGGGTTTCCAAAAAATTTTTTTTTTTTGCGGAGGGAAAAGGGGAATTTTTTTTGAAAGGTACATTGGGTGGGTTTTTTATTTTGTATTTGTGTGATAAATACGCCAAAATTATTTTTAAAAAGGGTTTTCGAAAACGGAAAATAAATTTCCAATTGGGCATTAATATTGGAAAAAAATTTTTTTTTCTTTAACCGGTTTATGATTTTGTTTAAGGTAATTTACAATTAAACCCATTTAAAATTGGTTTATTAAAATTTTTTCTAAAAGTTTCTGCATCCCCTTAAGGGAATTCCCTTTATTTTAATTTTTAATTAAGTCAACAGTTTTTATGGGATAAGGGGGGAAAATTTTGTTTAAAATTTTTGTTTACAAAAATTTTGGGGTTTTTTTTTTTGTCCCTTTTTTGTTGGAAATTTTTTAAGGGGGAATTTTTGTGTTTAACCCCTTAAAGGCCCTTTTTTTACTTTTAAACCCTTTTATTTTGTAAAGTTTTTAAAAAAAAAAATAAAAAAAAAAAAAATTTTTGGGGGAAAAAGGTTTCCCCGGCCCAAAACTGCCTAAGGGCCGAAAGGGGAAGCTATTGGCAACCCCCCGAAAAAGGGGTTTGGGGTTTCTTTACCAGTTAAAGGGTTTAAATTTTTTTAATAAGCAAGTTCCCAAATTTAATTTTAAAAAAAATATGTGTGACCTAAAAGGAAAAATTACAGCCATTCCCCCATTTTAGTAATTTAAATGGTATCCTTTAAATTTTTTAAATTTTTAAAAAAAAATTTTTCCCTTGGTGTTTTGGTTAATTAAAGGTTCAAGGGGGGTGAAAATTTTTAAAAGTTTTCAGCCTTTAAACCCGGTATAAAACGGTATCCTTTGGGGTAAAGTGGGGAAGGGGAGGGAAAAATTTCTGTTTTCCCAATTTTTTGTAAAGGGGGAAATTGGGAATTTTGGAAAACTCTTTTTTTAATGTTGGGTTTTTCCTTTGGGGAATTTTTCCCCTTTCCAAACCCCCTTGGGGTTGGGGAAATTTTTAAAATTTTAAAATTTTACAAAAAAAAAAAAAAAAAAAAAATTTTTGGGACCAAGTGTCCCCAGGCCTAGCCACAGTCCCCGTCCTCACGGGGCTCGAAGGGAGAAGCTAGGCCTCTGGTCTACCATCTGCCCCGCCCCAAAGGGGCTCGTGGGGATGGCAGTCTTGTGAGCTGCAGATAGTAGCAAGCTCAAACCTTTTTATAGCATGTTCCTGCATTATCAACTCATATAGAATACACACTACTGGTACTCACACAACGTGACTCATAAAGAACGGAAAGACTGCACATTGCGAGCGTTCCCAACATGTAGTCATCATTTAGAACAGGATAGCGGTGTCACTATCAAAATTTGCTAAATAAAACAAAACTTTACTCATTAGCTGCCTCTGTGCCATCAACATCAAGTGGATCAACTCGGTGTCGTGAACAATGTACCAAGATATACATGCCAGTCTGTGCCAGTAACGGCAGGACCTATAACAACAAGTGTATCCTGGAGGCTGAAAGCTGCAAGGACCGCACAGCAGGAGGAACAGGATTCGTACTAGTTGCAGACGGTGCTTGTGGTAAGTGAGGTAGCAGAGATGAAGGGTTATCCTAGGTAGGAGCACTCTGTTTATCAGTGTAATGGGTAAATATTTCTCATGATGCGAGTATTAGCCTCATTATGACAAGCTCATTTGTGCTTTTCTGAGCATTGGTCGAAATTTTTAGCTGATTCACAGATTATACATTATATCATAAGATGTGATATCTAAACATCTTCACTACCCAAAAATAATGGTGGTGATGGTTGTTTGTGATATTATAAGGATCTAACTATGGATGCATTAAACAAAGCCTCAGTAGCTTATCCTAGAGGGGATAAGTGCTTAGGTTTGAGCTCCTTACCTCTTCAAGGGGGGCTCCTTGGCGTGGTGAAGAGGCTCTTGGTCTGAGGAATTAGCCCTGTCGGGCTTCTTCCTCAGACCGAACCTAATTACCCCCCATTCTCCCCTCCCCTATCCCATCCTCCCCATCCTCCCCTTTTTCCATTCCTCCTCCTCCTCCTCACCCCTCCCTTTTGCCCTTCCTCTTTTTAGCCTTCGTGATTTCTCCCACAGGCGCGCTAGTTCCTAGGTAGGGAAAGGACACCGGGGTCCATCCCATTCCGTTGAGGTTTCTTGGGGGTGGCGTAGTTTGCCGTGGAATCTGGATTGCCTGGGGATGTCCCAAACCCCTCTCCGGTATCCCGGTAGCTTTGGGTGTCTTTTGGGCGAGGGGTGTATCTCTGGAAGCCACCTTTCGGATTCCGGGGTGGTGGCTAAAGGAGGTATGCTTTGTGGCGATATCCGGCCGCCTCTCTCTTTTGTCCACCGAGGTAGCTCGGCAGATGTGGGTTGCTATCCCGGATTGCGGGTTTACGGGCATGAAGGGTAGGGATGGCACGGTTTCCATGCTGCATCTGCGCTACAGCGGTGCCCGATTTCCTCTTGGGCGCGGAGGGAGATTTCCCGCCCTTTCATTCCTCCTGGGAAACTATTCTCCCCGCTCCCCCCTTTTTTTTATTCTTTTTTTTATTTTCTTTTCTTTTCTCTTTCTTTTTTTTTCTTAAAAAAAAAAGCAAAGGATAACCTAACCATGGCAGGCCCTAGTCCATGAAACCACTACCCCCCGGGGGCCCCCTTCTTGATACCGCAACCCCATTCTGACCCTGCCTTGTGTTTAGACCACTCTTCGGACACTCCTGATGCCCCTGTACCTCTTGCTGGTGCTGTTTCCTCCCCCGCTTCGGGTACCGAGGCTTCGACTGACTCCTTCGTTTGTCTGAACTCCGCTCTCCTTTGACTAGCTTCCGGCTTCTCCCTCTACGGTACGGCAATTTTCGAATCGCCCACCCATTTCATGCCGGACCAACTCCGGTCCTACTCCTAAATGCCAACGTCAATCTCCTGATGATGCTCCGTCGTACCTTCCCATTCTACTCGGAAACGACCGACACGTCAAGCACTCCCTCTCCCACGCTCAGTTTCGGACCACACAATGGACTAAATTCTTTACTTTAAGACCAACTTCTTCTTCTCCCTACCTTTCTGACCATAGTTTTTGCCAAAGCGCTCCTGCGTCATGTTGGCAGAGATATTTCATTTCACGCTCTCAAGAGCGGTACGCGCATCGTCACTGTCCAAAATGCTACCCAAGCTCATGATCTTTCTCTCCTTTCGAATATCGATACTACTCCCTATCACTATTGAAAAACATCTTTCCTCTCAATTCTTGTAGTGGACTGTCTTTCCCTGCCCCATACCATAGCCACAGAATTTCCAGTCATGTGGCAATGACATTTTTGAAACAACTGGAACTCCGGGATCTCCCAATCCTCAAAGTAGACACTTATGTCCTTCCCCTGCCCGGGGGCGGAGACGTTCCCCTTTGCAATGTGGCTCGTTTAACTTTTGACAGCCGAAAAACTCCCGTCCTCTGTATATGTCGCGGAAAATCGGTTACAAGTTCGAAAGGTGATACCTAAAACCGCAACAATGTAGAAATTGCTGGCGTTTTGGTCACCCAGCGAAATATTGCAGATCTATGGCCGAATGCCCAGTCTGTGTGCCGACGACCATTCTAATACATCTTGCAGTCAAACCTCCATCTTGCCTTAATTGGAATGAAGCTCACCCTTCGTACTCCCGCCGTTGCCAGGTCTACTTAAATGAACGTGAAATCCGTTGCCTCAAAGAGGCAGAAGGTCCCCCTTTAAATGCTATGGCAGTTACCCCATCTCCGCCTCCAAGGGAGACTACCCCGTGTTTTCTTATTCTCGTGTTTCCAAACGTCCCCCCACTTCGGGGGTCCCATCTTCTGCAGCCTCCTCTGTTTTAAACCCCTCCCATAGCCACTAAGGGCATCTAATCCTTTTGCTGTCCTTGGCTCTGACGTCCCGACTACAACTCAGTCTGTTCTCACATCTTCGCGTCCTTCCTCACAAGCCCCAGTATCGACAAGGGACCTCTTACGACACCTAATACCAATCGCCCCTTTAACTCAGAAGTCCAAAAAATCCACATTGCTCAAATCTTCTTTGCCCTTCCTTCCCTTCTTTCCGCCTCCACATTTTACCTTTCCAGTCTCTGTACCTATTCTTTTTTTTTCCCCCCCCTCTCGGCTCTATTACAATTTTGGAGATTCACCCTCCTCCTCGTACTATGCCTCCACCCCCGTCCCCTCCCAAGTTTTCTCCCTCTTCTGTCACCTCCCAGGTTTCTGCCTCTTCTGTCCCCCCCCACACTTCATCTCCAGTCCCTTACACTTTCCCTCCCCCTCTACTTTGGTACAGTCCATTACTGTCCCAATCTTACCACCCTCCCCTCCTATCTCCAATAGGGTCCCCCCATACATCTTTGAATTCAGAAACACTTGAAGCCATTTCAGAATATATTGCAGAGACTAAACCTTCAATGGACACTGATTCACTTCCTTTTTCCTTCTCTTCCCTCTCCTCCATCTTCAAAACCCCCCATTTCTTCGCAACGCTCCGTTCCTTCGCTACTTGAACATCTTCCAATCCCACCAAAACGTTGACTTTCTAACCCCTCTAGTCCGTAGTCCCTTTTACCTACAGATTCCTGATATTTTCTTCATCGCCAATCATGGCCTATTTACAGTGGAATATCCGCGGCCTCAGGGTAATGGGGGTGAGCTTCAATGTTGCTTTCCAGGTTTTCCCCTGTTGGTGCTGCTTACAAGAACCAAAATTACACTCGGCTGTTTTCCAACCTATCTCAGGCCTATAATTTAAATTTTATTCCTTCGGATCCTTTCTCAATGGGACCTTTAATGAAAGTGCCCTTCTTCTACGCAATATATTCCCGTACTGTCCCAAATATTTGTCCATACCTCGCTGCATTACACTGCCCGCCCGTATCCACTTGAATAAGTGGTTTTACAATATGTTCTTTATATCTCTCTCCTTCTCGAAACATTTTCTATCCCGACTTGCCTTTCTTGTTTCATCCTTACCAAACCCCCACTTCTGTTACTTGGTGATTTTAATGCCCACCATTTCCTCTGGGGGGGTCCTCATTGTGACTCACGTGGCATTCAGTTGGAGGCTTTTCTTGCCTCTCACCCCCTCCATGTTTTAAATACGGGTACCCCACCCATTTTGATCCTCGTACTCAACTCTCTCTTGCATCGATCTATCAGTCTGCTCTTTCCCCCACGCACTAACTTCACCGGTCTGTTCTACCAGACTTACATGAAAAGCGATCATTTTCCGATCATTCTTACTTCTCCCCTTTCCCATTCCCCCACCTTTCCGTAGCCCCGCTGGCAATTTGATCGGGCAAATTGGATCTTTACTCACAAACCCCACTGCTTTTAGTGAGGTTCCTTCTTCATCCTCCATTGAATGAGCTCCTACACATCTTCTCGACATCAGTTTTATACCGCAGCTTCTCATTCTATACCCCAAACCTCAGGCAGGCATTCTCAGAAGTGCGTGCCTTGGTGGTCTCCCTGCTTTTGCCGTGCAGTACGTTTGAAACGTGCTGCATGGGGCAGGTACCGGGAAAAATAGACCCCCTGAGAGAAATTGTTGATTTTAAGCAGAAGCGTGCGACACTCCCGTTCATCCGTGAAGCTAAACGCACTTGTTGGCGAGACTATGTTTCCACCATCACCTCTGCTTCTTCTATGAGTGCAGTCTGGAAAAAAGTGAGGAAATTGAGTGTAAATACTCTCCTGACCCGGCTCCTGTTCTACGGGTCACTGGTGTTGATATACAAACCCTCTCGACGTTGCCATTGAACTTGGCCACATCTGGGCCGTATTTCCCGAGGGGTCCATCTATGCCCCTCGTTTCTTTCCTCAAAGTCTGCCAGAGAGTTAGTAAACCCTTGGGCTTTCTTCTCTCGGAGAAGAACAGTATAATGTGCCTTTTACACTTCAAGAACTGGAGGCAACGCTCTCAGCTTGCCCATCATCGGGAGCTGGGGCCCGATGACATTCATATTCGTATGTTACAACTTTACATCGGTCAGCCCTTGTAGTTTCCCCTACACCTCTTCAATCTTATTTGGGCACAAGGAGTTCTTCCCCAGCTGTGGAAATCTGCCATTGTTTCTCCCTTTCCCCCAAACCGGGTACTACAGGACATGGGTGCCTTCCCACTATCGCCCCATCGCTCTTTACAAGTGCAGTTTGCAAAGTGATGGAACGCCTCGTAAATCGACGTTTCCCTGTGGTATTTAGAGACTCACAACAGTCCTCTTTCCCGCTAGTCAATATGGCTTTCGAAGGGTCGTTCTACCATAGACCCCTTACTACGCTTGGATACGTATGTTCGTAATGCCTTTGCGAATAATCACTCAGTTATTGCCATATTTTTTGACCTTGAAAGGCATATGACACAACTTGAGGTATAATAAATTTTTGGCCCCGGCCCATTCCTTTGGCCTCCGAGGCAATCTACCAACCTTCCTTAAGAACTTTTTAACTGACAGACATTTCCGTGTTTTGAGTCAATAATGTTCTTTCCCCGGACTTCGGGCCAAGCTGAAGGTGTCCCCAGGGGTGTGTTCTAAGCACAACACTTTTTCTCCTTGCTATAAATGTTGGCCTCTGTTCTTCCACCCAATATTTGGGCATCACTCAATTTTGAAGACTGCGCTATTGCTTGTGCAGGCGCTGACTGTCACCTTATTGCAGTTTCCCCCTCCAGCATGCGGTCGACCGTGTTTCCGCTTGGGCCACCACACATGGGTTTAAATTTTCAAGTACCAAAACTCACCAAATTACTTTCACTAGACCTCCCGTTATCTCCGATCATCCTTTGTATCTCTATGGCTCCCGTATCCCCGAACGTGATACAGTCAGGTTTCTAGGCCTTCTCTTTGAAACCGTCGGTTTAAAAATGGAAACCTCACATTACCTCCTGAAGGCAACTTGGGCACAGCCGGGTAAACCTTTTTAAAACCCTTGCTCAACTTTCCTGGGGAGCTTTATCGTCGAACTCTGCTTCGCCTACATTCAGCCCTCGTTTTATCGAAACCCCGATTATGGTGACCAGATTTATTCCGCGGGCCCCTCCTGCTACCTCCCCTAGCCTTAACTCTATCCACACCAAGGCTTACGTTTGTGCCTTGTGCTTTTTTTTCGCTCTTCCCCTGTTGAGAGCCTCTATACAGAAGCAAATGTTCCATCCTTGTCTGATCGCCGTGATGCCCATTGCCTTCGTTTTCTATGTACGCTCTCACGATCTACACAATCCTTCCATTTATAGAATGGTCACCGATATTTGTAGACATTCTTTATTCGTTCGCCGCCCCCGTTTGCTCCGTCCCTTTTCTCTCGCCTACATTCACACTTGTCTTCCCCCTTTAGTTTTCCACCTTTATAATTCATGTAGCATCTCACTTTCCCTACCCCCCTGGGAAGTTCCAGCTGTTCGGGTCTGTTCTTTCTCACTCCCTTTCTCGAAAGCTCAACGCCTACGGTGGCTTCCCGCTCTCTTTTTCTTGAAACACATTCCACTCCCATTCTCATGCCACCGGGTGTGTACACAGATGGCTCTAAGTCTTCAGACGGCGTCGATTCGCAGCAGTGTTTCCGGACAGCGTCGTACGAGGCATTTACTATCTTCAGCTAGCATTTTAAATGCTGAACTGTATGCCATTCTTGCAGCACTTATTCGTTTTCGCATCTATGCCTGTGTCATCAATTTTTAGTAGTCTCAGACTCCCTTAGTGCTCTACAGGCTAAACGAAAATTTGATACATCTCATCCCCTAGTTCTCCGTATCCAACTTTGGCTACGCCGTATCTCTACCAAACATAAAATATTTGTTTTTTGTTGGTCCCTGGTCATGTTCGACGTACAGGGCAATGAACAGGCAAACTGCTGGGGCGTCAGCAGTATATGACCTACCAATTTCCTATCGAGGTGTTCCATTTTTGGACTATTTGCTGCAATAGCTACCCACCTTCGCAACCGTTGGCAACAAACGTTGGTCAACTCTGCTAGGTAACAAACTTCATTCTATTAAACCGAGCATAGGTTACTGGCCGTCTTCTTGTCATCAGTGCCGAAGTTGGGAGACCACTCTCTCCCGCCTTCGCATTGGCCACACTCGTCTTACTCATGGGTATCTCATGGAGAGGCACCCTGTTCCTCTCTGTGAGCAGTGTCAAGTTCCAGTATCGATTAGCCACATTCTGTTAGACTGCCCTCTCTATCAACGAGCACGCAGAATTTACCTCCAACGTCGTCTTCGTTCTACTACTCTCTCTTTACCTTCCCTTCTTGCTGATGGACCCTCCTTTAATCCTGACTCTCTCATTGACTTCTTGACAACGACTGATTTACTCCACAAACTCTGATGATACTTTTCGCACTCCCCTCAGCCCTTTCTGGTTCAGTCTCTTGCTGCCCTTTACCCTTTCACCATCCACTGCCCCGCTGTTATCCATAACCTGTTGCTCATCCATCTCCCTTTTGCCACCTGATGCCCTCACTTCCTTCCTGCCCTGCAGCGCTGTATAGTCCTTGTGGCTTAGCGCTTCTTTTTGATTATAATAATAATAATTGAGCTCCTTAATACAGACCTGAGCTTAATGACCACACTTCAGTAGCTCGGTTATTTACATAAAAAATAGACATTACCCATTGTATTAGATTTCTCATTTAGTTAACCTCGATCAGTCTACTGTGTAGCAGGATCAATTTCGGCTCAACCCTTATTAGGACAGCAGATTCAGTTTTTTTTAGTATCTTATATTTTATCATATTTTACTATTTGTAACTGATCACAGTTTCTGTTTACTTTATCTGCACAAGAATGTTTTTTTCGTGGATCCTAATTATGGCGATTGTTTCACTAAAAGACTGCATTTTACGAGGACAAGGCCTTTCCTGATACAGTACCTCCATTCATTACGTTATATATATATATATATATATATATATATATATATATATATATATATATAATATAATTATATATTATATATATATATATATATATATATATAATATATTTATATATATATATATATAATATACATATATTATATATATACATATTAAATATATATATATATATATATATATATATATATATATATATATATATATATATATATATAATATTTATATATATATATATATATTATATATATGTGGATGGAAGGAGAGGTAAAAGAGGTTTTATGTGCAAGGGGCTTGGACATACATCAGGCATGAGTGAACGTGTTTGATAGGAGTTAATGGAGACGAATGGTTATTTTAGGATTGACGAGCTGTTGGAGTGTGAGCAGGGTAATATTTTGTGAAGGGGTTCAGGGAAAACTGGTTAGCCGACTTGAGTCCTGAAGGTGGGAAGTACAGTGCCTGCGCTTCAAAGGAGGGGTTTGGGATATTGGCTGCTTGGAGTGACATCTGAACTGTTGTATTTTGGGCCCCCTTTGAAAAGACAAAATTGTGTAAAATGATAGGAAAGTTTTTTTTTTTTTTGGGTTTAACCTGCCTCGGTGGGAGACGGCTGAGTGTTGAAACTTTTGGGAAAAATATATATATAAAAAATCTAAAAAGGGAACCTCTTTAAATTTTTCCTTTAAATCAGGGGTTTGAAAAAGAATTGCCAGAAAATTTGGGGGGAAAACTTAAAAAATTTTGTGTGGGACCAAGGGGGTAACTTCAACAACAAGTTTGGGAATTCCCCCATTGCTACTGCTTTAAACTCCCAATTTGGAAAGCGAAGTAAAGGAATTTTGGGGTTTACAGAAAACCTTATCTCCCCGGGAAAAGAAAACCCCAAGATACTAAACTGAAAAAAAAGGGGGAAAAAATAATTAAAATTAAAGTTGGGTTTTGTTAGGACACGGAAAAGTGTTTTTTTGACGCGGGCCTTGGGTTATATGATGACTCACAGCGGGAGTTTTTGGTCACGGGCCCGAGCCTTTTCGGGCTTACCCCTCCAACATTTTAAAAAAAAAAAAAAAGATGATATATTTTAAAATTTAAAAATTAAAAAAAAATTTTTAAAAAAAAAAAAGCAAATTTGAATTTTTTAAATAACGGGTTTAAAAATGGGGTTTCCTAGGTTTGTCTGGATGCAGAAAAAAATTTGCATAAAAAAAAATTGTAAAAACTTTTAAAAATTTTTAAATATATTTTTTTGGGGGGGAAAAAGGGTTTATGCGAAGCTTTCAGCCCAATTTTGTTTTTAAAAAATTCTACAGCCATTTTTTTAACCCTTCTAAATAAATTTAAACCCATTGGAAAAAAAACATTAGGAGACTTTTTTCCCGTTTTTCTGAAAAAGAAAAAACTTGATGATAATTTTTTTTATAACTTTAGATCTGTAGTTATATACACAAACTCTTCCCTGTGGTTCCATCTTGTATTTTTTATCTCCAGGATTCCATTAGAGATGTGCCCAACTGTTAAGTATATAATTTTTTAAGTGGTACCTCGAATTTCGGCCATAATTCGTTCCAGAATGCTGTTCGAATGCCGTTACTGAACGAATTTGTTCTCATAAGGAATAATGTAAATTAGATTAGTCTGTTTCAGACCCCCAAAAATACACTTGCAAAAGCACTTACAAAAATACACTTACATAATTGCTTGAGTTTTGATCTGTTCAAAACTCGGGGTACCAGTATCTCAAGATTTATTAACAGTCCTCTCTTCACATATACAGCAGTTATTCACACACGACCAAGGACTGAGTAAAAAAAAATCACGTTTCTTATGACAACATACCCCCCATCCTCATGACAAAAAAAAAATACAACTTCAAAAATAATAAATTTTTAGTGGGGAAACTTAAGAACTTCCTCCCTCGAAAACTGTCCTAAAACATTCATCTTAGTGCAAAAGTCCTAAAACAGCATATACGATATCCTAAATGATAACACACAAGCCGTGTTAGTGTCAAAAAGGAAATGACTTTTTCCTAAATGGTAACGGTACAAAGACGTGTCTTCCTCCCAAATAGTGCCCCAAAAAATTTCATGTTTGTGTCCACGCAGCGGTGTCGTCGAGTTTGCCCACCATCATCTCAGGCACAAAACCTTCCCTGCCCACCTTGGGTCAACCAGCCATCATCGTTTCCGCAGTTTCCTGCCTCGACACCTGTACGCCAGGTTTCCGGCCAGTGTGTGGCTCAGATGGAGTCGTTTATGGTTCAGATTGCAGGTTGAACCTGGCCAGGTGCAGGACCAACAACCCTACCTTGGTCAAGAGAAGTGATGGAGTCTGTAGTGAGTGTTGGTGCTGGGGATTTGTGCATGGGGTGTTAGGATCCAAGAAAGACCTGGTATAATACTAATGCTATTACTAAAAGTATTAACAACAGTAATAACACTTATATTAGCAATAATTATAATAGTTTATTAAGGCTTGTCCATGTAGTGATATATTTTACTTATAAGAATAAGCCACATTGAACAGTATGAAAAATGTGAAACTCTGTTAGATGATAATGAGTTCCTACTACAGCACTCTAGCACCCCATTTGCTCTTACTGTGAAAAGTACCAAGACACTGCAAGAAGGCTCAAACAAGGCATTCTGACGAGTTTTAGATATCATTGCTACAGAAAGCGGAAGGAGCTTATGCAGTCGGACACAACACTGTTAATTAAAAGAAGATTGCTGAAATATAGAGATTGAACTATGTGGAATGAAGCTGTTACGTATTCCAAAGATGATTCCCTTTACCATAAACAGTATTACCGTCTAGGGGATTCAAGTTCCACTTCCCAACAAAAGAACCCTTAGTGTCACTCTAACGAAAATCAGAAGATGCACAAAGGTAAGTAATCAACATTGAAGTTATTAATCAGTCCATCTGGTTAGTATTTTGCTAAGACTTAGTATCGGCAAGTAAGCTTATCGTGATGCTCGTTTATTCTTGTGAGTTTATGTAAAACGAATTCAATCTGTCTATAATTACCGAGGAGAAGGGGAGGGTACACTTATGTAGTATTGTCAATAACACCAATGACTTTATTCATCTAATCTGTAACCAGGCTTTGTGAATAAATCCATCTTAACACCGAGGACTGAAACTAATTAAATGCGACATCTCAACTTTACCAGATAGTCACGACACCCCAGAACAAACCATTGAATGAATGTCAACAGTTCATCTCATAACGTAAACGAAAGTGATTCCAGGTAAGGTCTACATACAAAGTCGACTCATCGACACCATGCCCAGTCCTTCTAGGGTAGGGTAGGTGCCTGAGCCCGAGCCTTTAGCTCATAAGACTGTCATTCCCATTAGCCCCCTTGTGGCGGGGATGGCAGACCAGAGAGGCCTAGCTTGTGGCTAGGCCTGGGGACAGTTGGTCCCAAAGATGAGGAGGTACTTGTGCCTCCTCCCATGGGAGACTTAGGTCTCAGACACTCCCTAAAGAGGGAGCCAAGGCCGGGCCACCACTTGGAAAAGGCCCGGGCCGGGAGAATTCCGGCTAATCTTTAACTAACTAACTAACTAACAAAGTCGACTGATCGACACCATGCCCAGCCTTTCTAGGGTAGGGTAGGTGCCTGAGCCCGAGCCTTTAGCTCACAAGACTGTCATTCCCATTTGCCCCCTTGGGGCGGGGATGGCAGACCAGAGAGGCCTAGCTTGTGGCTAGGCCTGGGGACAGTTGGTCCCGAAGATGAGGAGGTACCTGTGCCTCCTCCCATGGGAGACTTAGGTCTCACACTCCCTAAAGAGGGAGCCAAGGCCGGGCCACCACTTGGAAAAGGCCCGGGCCGGGAGAATACCGGCTAATATTTAATAATAATAATAATAATAATAATAACAAAGTCGACTCTAACACAAACGACCATCACTGATATAAATTTAACTGACGTTTAGTTTCGCAGAGCTCAACGGTTTCCAAGATCAAATTCTCCCAGAAAGGTAAACGAGGACTGCGACGTTAACCCAGATCTTGACCAGACCAATGTCACCCATCACCCTCATCAAGCAATCAACATAAACAAACTTCATAACAAAAGTGGGAGCACTCACGCATTGCTTCACACACTCTTTTAAACACAGACTACATGAATTCATTATGAACTATGAACTCAAGAGAGATGGGCCACTTAACTTTATTAAATCGATAGGTCACCTAATATCATAACCCGACTTACATTTGCCTCATCTTAAACTCTTCTCAAAATTTTGAGCATTCTACCCCACATTTTGTCCTTACTGATCCTAGCTTCCCCAAAAATATTTATAATAAAGAAATAAACACTTTCCTCTTTTTCATGACGATCATAAAAATCACGGGCAATTGTAAGAATATTTTCCTTCTTTACGTCTTCTAGCCAAAGACTGCAGCATCGCGTGTTACAAAGACAGAGAACCAGTGTGTGGAACTAACAATGTCACATACCAGAACGACTGCTTCTTGGCTGTGGCACGTTGTAAAGACAGCTCTGTAGGGAGACTTGCCAGCGGCGTCTGCAGTAAGTCTTCAGTTCCCTTAATAAAAGTACCCAGCTTTGCAAATTTACGCTGTATTGATTTAAAAATAATCTGTCCTTCAACCCTAACATTAGCTAGTAATGTAAATAGGTCTCCAGTGGCTCAAATGGTAAGTCATCTAGTTGGAATCCAGTTGCTGGTGCACTAAGACCTTATCTCTTGGGCGAGTCTTCAGTGGTAAGTGCACAGAGGCCTCGTGTGTCAGGTGAGTCTTTTCTTTATATCTTAGGTTAGGTAAGATTCGTCAGGAAACTTGACAGTTATCGCCAGATGCAGGTCTTAGTCATTTGATGACCCGTAACTGGAGATTTTGGTTATTTTACCGAGGCCTTCCGCTGTCTTGCCCCTCCACCCCTTTAAAATTTAGGTTGTATTTCTTCTGTATCTTAAGACACTGTTGGGTAGTGAAGTTTGTTATTAATGGGGTGTGAAAACCAGCTCTGGTAAGCCGGCTGATACTTAACCACTTGTCAGGAGACAAGTGGTTTAATCTCCTTGTCAGGAAACACTTATTCTGTTTCCTAACGAACAAAACACTTCCTTACAATAAAAATAGAAAGTCTTCAGCCATAATTGGACTGACATAGGCTGATTAATAAAGTTAGGAGTGAGATAATAACTACAACGAAGAAAATATGTTATTGTAGTGAAGACAGATATGACATTGATGATAATGCTGTGAGACACCCGTGGTAACTGCTGGGTTGATAAATAAGACACTTGTACAACATATGAGTATATTCTGGAAATGTTTCGCGCCACAGTGGTTTCTTCAGTCCACTGCAGAGAAAGGTAGAAGATGAGTAGTAGTTTGAGGTAATCAGTTCCTCAGCCTGGAGTCGATGTGTTCAGTCTATCATTGGACGATCGATACCAAGCCTAACCCTTCTAGGGTAGGGTAGGTACCTGAGCCCGAGCCTTTAGCTCATAAGACTGTCATTCCCATTTGCCCCCTTGGGGCGGGGATGGCAGACCAGAGAGGCCTAGCTTGTGGCTAGGCCTGGGGACAGTTGGTCCCAAAGATGAGGAGGTACTTGTGCCTCCTCCCATGGAAGACTTAGGTCTCAGACACTCCCTAAAGAGGGAGCCAAGGCCGGGCCACCACTTGGAAAAGGCCCGGGCCGGGAGAATACCGGCTAATCTTTAATAATAATAATCTATCATTGGACTGAAGAAGCCACTGTGTGGCTAAACGTTTCCAGAGTAAAGATAACTAATTTCTGCACAAGTGTCTCGTTTATCAACAATTCGGTTCTATAAACCCTTTATTCACAAACTGCTGGGTTGTCTTCACCTGCGGCAGATACGTCAACATCCAGGGTGTGTGATAAGCTCTGCGACGACACCTACGCCCCAGTATGTGGCAGCGACGGGGCCACCTACCAGAACCACTGCAAACTGCAAGCTGCCACCTGCTACTATACTGGTCTTATCAAGCACTATGACGGCCGCTGCAGTAAGTATTCTCCGCTGTGTCAGTCACTGCTGCATCATCCATCGAGTGCCCAGTTGTGTTAGTGGGTTTTCTTTTTACCGAGTAATGCACTATAGTAAGTATTCTTTGCTGTAGTAGTTATCGTTCGCTTGATGACGCCAGGTTATGACGGCCGGGGCAGTATATATCCTCCAGTACTGACAAGTTAATAGAGAGATTGACTTCTTGAGGCTCCATTTAAATGTTTAGTAAATATTTAAGTCAGGTCCGTATGCTTTTATCATGTAAATTCTCCAACACTGAGTGAAATGTGGAATTGGAAAAGTTATATTTTTGGTCTCTGAGGGAAAAAAAGTTATTTTTTTTGTATGGTAACCATGAAAAACAAAAGCAATCCTACCTAACCTAGAATTTAACCATAAAATTTAGGTTTCAGTTACCATGAAATGCCGTCTTTTCTATTAGCTGAGAATTTAACTGTCTAAATTGCACAGTCCACTTAATACTGAAGAATTTACATCTCTTAAAGCCATCGTTAAGTGTGAGAAACACTTCGGATGAGTTCTTAGTTCAATCAAGTCAATAAAATCTTAGTAAGGAGTAACAAGTTTGATGTCTGACCTGACCATAATGCAGAGCAACTTGTGACTTGATTATTAGGGACATAAATAAAGTTATGTCAACATTAACTGGCTTTCAGTTAGTGTTTGTGTCTACTGTTTACCTTTCCACACTGTAATGGAATTCGATATATACTATATATATGTCGTGCCGAATATGTAAAACTGGTCAATTAGCAAGAACTCATTGAAAATTAAGTCCTTTCTAAAATTTTCTCTTATACGTTTAAAGACATTTTTTTTCATTAATGTTAATGTAAATTTTTTTAATTTTGCACCAAAAGAATCTTAGAAAACTTACCTAACCTTATTATAACAAGAACAATTTATTTTAGCCTAACCCAACTAAATATATTTTAGATTTGCTTACAATAATTTAATACTAAACAAACACAGTGAAATATATTTTCTTCGTTAGGTTCAGAATGATTTTGGTGAAATTATTGCATACACAAATTTTCACTTGTCCTATATGGCAAGATGAACGTTGCTATTTAAGCCAAGATCGCAAGTTCTGCCTATTCGGCACGACATATATATATTATTATATATATATATATATATATATATATATATATATATATATATATATATATATATATATATATATATATATATATATATGGATAATGGTAACTTTGGTAGTAGTATCAACTTTAACTTGTTAATCTGACCTGTTTGCCTCTACATAACATACTAAATTTATCTTTGGATCGTAATAACCATAAATCCTGTTTGAAGAACTAGGTGTGGAATTTTCCATGGTGTAACGAGAAAATTATGGCTAAAATACATGAATGTCAGTGTTGAAATTATCGAAATGACTACAAAGTATAATTAAAATGCTGAATAAATTCATATGTATCCTTGAGCAAATAATTTTTGACAGATTTTTCGTTTACGAATCCATAATTCTTACCATATATATTTTTTTATGTTTACACTTGGAATTAATTTCAAAACGACTAGGTTTAAATTTAAAAATTAAACTTCAATTTTTTTTTCTTTCCATAAAATACTGTTAATATCCACTCATGTATCTATATCTAATCTCTATTTTTTCCTCCTCACAGAAGTCTGATAGTCAGAATTAATCTTCCCAGTGAAAAAAAATATATCATCTCGGTACAGCATCCGACCAACATTCTACACAGCATCCTGACTTGGTCTCAAAATCCAGCACATTAGGCAATATCTACCACAGGAAATTCCCCAAAATCAACTACATCAACTCATGATGTATACCGAGAGGTGTATTTCCATCACCGTATATATGCTGAAGGATTTTTTTTTATTGTAGGAATAAAGGATTCTTGTCTGGTGGTGAAAAGGTGACATAGTATTAGTGCCCCTTATTTAGGCGATAGGTTTCAAAAAACCCATTAACCAACCATTTACATCATACACATTTTCAGGGTGTATTTCTCTCGATGTATGTGAAAACGGCAGTATATATACACACCGTGGGCTAGACATCTAAGTATATATTCACAGCTTAATTCCCATTTTAGGGATCAATAGTTTTAGTGGAGGGACGCGGCCATAATGACCCTCATCCCAAAACCAGTCAAGAATGCTTCAGTCCCTAAAATAAGGATTAATGATTTCAGTGTGTGTACTTTGAGAGTCATACACCTCTCGGTGTACATATCTTATGTGGAATTCAAAATTAAGAGTTAAATGTAGAATCCAGAATTCACGAAATCGTAACGACACGATTGTAAACAAACCATACCACTGGTGGGGTTAGAACCCGCGATCAGAGTCATAAAACTCCAGACCGACACGTTAGCCACTGGGGCAGTTGGTTACAATATTGTGGCCAGCTGGTCCAGTGGCTAACGCGTCGGTTTGGAGTTTTATGACTGATCGCGGGTTCTAACCCCACCCGTGGTATGGGTTGGTTAGAATCCAGAAGTGCAAAATAATGAAAGAATGGAAACACTAAGCGGGGAGATCAAATTTTTACTTGCATATGAGACTTAATTAAAGCTTCTAGCACATTTGTTTTGTTGTTAAAAAAAAAGTTTAAAAATAAACAATTGACCTTTTTTTTGTCCCATACCAAACAATGGCTGCCGCAAAGCGCTGAGGTTGTAATGGGAGGGTCATCGAGGTTCGTAAACGGCTCTTATTCAAAGGAAATGGAGTTATCTTCCCTTTTCTTGGATCAGACCTGATTGCCTTCCATGACTCCTACAGGTTTGACGCTTTCCAATAATAATAATGCAGTGACATACAGAATAACATATAGCAGAATAAATATCCTCGAGGGAGGAGCACTGATGCTGGTGAAGGTCTCTCGATCCACGGAAGTGGATCTACCCTTCCCTTAGATCAGACCTCATTTCCTCTTATTCCCAAGGGCCTGTATGATCCCTACGGGCTTAGCGCTCCCGTCCATAAACATTAATCGTATAATTGCCTCAATAAGTTACTGGATAATATCCTGCGAGGTTTATCTCACTCCCCTCAAAGAAGGTTCCTAATGCTGGTGAGGGGCTCTTGATCTAGGGAATTGGATCTGTGCTCCAGTTCCCTGAATTAAGCCTGAATACCTTCCACCCCCCCCCCACAGCCGCTGCATAATCCTACGGGTTTAGTGCTCCCCCTTGATTATAATAATAATTCTTATCTCACCTTGACTTCCCCGACCCCGGAGGATTATACAGCGCCTGGGGGGGGGATGTGGAAGGCATTCAGGCTTAATTCGGGGAACTGGAGCACAGATCCAATTCCCTAAATCAAGAGCCCCTCACCAACATCAAGGAACCTTCCTTACCCCTCAAGGAAGGTTCCTTGATGTTGGTGAGGGGCTCTTGATTTAGGGAATTGGATCTGTGCTCCAGTTCCCCGAATTAAGCCTGAATGCCTTCCACATCCCCCCCCCAGGCGCTGTATAATCCTCCGGGTTTAGCGCTTCCCCCTTGATTATAATAATAATCCCCGACCCCCCACCCATTCCTTCTGTCTATTATGATAGACATTATCAACCCTCACTCCTGTCTATTATGATAGATATTATCAACCCCTCACTCCTGTCTATTATGATAGATATTATCAACCCCTCAATCCTGTCTATTATCATAGATATTATCAACCCCTCACTCCTGTCTATTATCATAGATATTATCAACCCCTCACTCCTGTCTATTATCATAGATATTATCAACCCCTCACTCCTGTCTATTATCATAGATATTATCAACCCTCCATTCCTTCTGTCTATTACGATAGATATCAGTGTTAGGGGTGTCCGTGTTTAGTCCCGTTATATGAAGCCTAAATAATAACCCTTGTGTAGTCGAGAGGCTTTAAACCAAATTAACCCCCCCCCTGTGTGTGTGTGTGTGTATACTCATCTGTTTATTGTTGCGGAGGTCGTGTCTCAGCTCCTGGACCCGCCTCTTCGCTGGTTGCTACTAGATCCACTCCCTTGTCAATTCCTCTCGGTAACTTTTTATATCGTTATCATGTCTCCCCTATCTCTCTTGTCCTCCGGTGTCGTCAGGTTGAGTTCCTATAACTTCTCGTACGACATACCCCTTAGCTCCGGGACTAGACTTTCTGCAAACCTTTGCACTTTCTCTATTTTCTTGACGTGTTTGACCAGGTGTGGGTTCCACACTGGTGCTGCGTACTCCAATATGTACTTTGTGTAAGTACGTGTGAGTGTATGGAGATACAGACATGATATGATGTAGATTTTGCTTCAAGGTTGCATATGCAACCCAGTGCAACTTAGTATAGGGGCGGATGATGACAGTACATGAGGGTACGTGAGAGAGAGAGAGAGGTAGCAGACTTTACGAGGTATATCTAGGTTACCCATTAAGATTGGCGCTACTCTCCCTCACCTTCCTCGGATCAAACCTTAATACACCCCATTCCACAGGTGCTGTATGACCCCTAACGCTGTAACCCTTACGGGTTTAGCGTTTCTTAATTATAATAATTATTATTATTTGGTTTGCAAAGCAAACTCAGTAATTAGCTAGGTACCACTGCTTCTATACTAGTATAATGAAGGCAATGAAGCAGAAGGCTCTCCTCCCAATCTTGGAATATTAGGATATATGGATGGATATTTAAGACTGTCGACGTTGACAGTACTTATTCTACTACTGTTAACAGTTTGTTGAAGGTGAAGTGTTTAGAGGTGAGCCCGCTAGTGAGTCTTCCCAGTGATGTCAGCGTCCGTCAGGCTTCTCTTCTCAGGATACAAAAATATGAAGAATTTAATAACCTGAGAACCATGATCCTTGTGCCCTTGGAGGTGTGTGTGTGTGTGTGTGTGTGTGTGTGTGTGTGTGTGTGTGTACTCACCTATTTGTACTCACCTATTTGTGGTTGCAGGGGTCGAGTCATAGCTCCTGGCCCCGCCTCTTCACTGATTGCTACTAGGTCCTCTCTCTCCCTGCTCCATGAGCTTTATCATACCTCGCCTTAAAACTATGTATGGTTCCCGCCTCCACTACTTCACTTTCTAGACTATTCCACGACTTGACTACTCTATGACTGAAGAAATACTTCCTAACATCCCTTTGATTCATCTGAGTCTTCAACTTCCAATTGTGACCTCTTGTGTATGTGTCCCATCTCTGGAACATCCTGTCTTTGTCCACCGTGTCTATTCTGCGCAGTATTTTATATGTCGTTATCATGTCTCCCCTGACCCTCCTGGCCTCCAGTGTCGTCAGGCCGATTTCCCTCAACCTTTCTTCGTACGACAATCCCCGTAGCTCTGGGACTAGTCTTGTTGCAAACCTTTGCACTTTCTCTAATTTCTTGACGTGCTTGACTAGGTGTGGATTCCAAACTGGTGCTGCATACTCCAGTATGGGCCTGACGTAAATGGTATACAGCGTCTTGAACGACTCCTTATTGAGGTATCGGAACGCTATCCGTAGGTTTGCCAGGCGCCCGTATGCTGCAGCAGTTATCTGATTTATGTGCGCCTCAGGAGATATGCTCGGTGTTATACTCACCCCCAGATCTTTTTCCTTGAGTGAGGTTTGCAGTCTTTGGCCATCTAAACTATATTGTGTCTGCGGTCTTCTTTGCCCTTCCCCAATCTTCATGACTTTGCATTTGGCAGGGTTAAACTCAAGGAGCCAGTTTCTGGACCAGGCTTGTAGCCTGTCCAGGTCTCTTTGTAGTCCTGCCTGATCCTCATCCGATTTGATTCTTCTCATTAACTTCACATCATCTGCAAACAAGGACACTTCTGAGTCTATCCCTTCCGTTATGTCGTTCACATATACCAAGAACAGCACAGGTCCTAGGACTGACCCCTGTGGAACCCCGCTTGTCACAAGCGCCCACTCTGAAACCTCGTCACGTACCATGACTCGTTGTTGCCTCCCTGTCAGGTATTCTCTGATCCATTGCAGTGCCTTTCCTGTTATGTGTGCCTGATCTTCTCGCATCAAGATAGAGTCAAACTGTCTGTTTTCTCATCAATGTTTTTGAGAGCTTTACGAATTTGTAGTCCTGAGTTCATAGATGAGGAAATATCCAAAATTTATGAAATAGGTAATGATTTAAAATACCCAAGAAATGTAATTGATAAATCTTTTAAAGTTGCTAGGAACACTTTTTATAATCCAAAAAAGGGCAACCAGCCTTATTCAACTAAAAATATGTTGGTTCTCCCTTACCATGAAAACTTGGTTGATATGCCTTCTCTTCTTAAGACTTTTAATATTAAAGTTGTATTCAAAAATCTTGATACAGTAAAAAAATTTTTGATTAAGAATTCCCCTCAAAATGCTGATGGATGTGTCTATAAGATTCCTTGTAAAATTTGCGATAAAGTTTATTACGGTCAAACTGGTAAAAATCTCGAACTAAGATTAAAACAACATAAATATAGCATTAGAACTGGACAAGATTCCAATGCTCTATTTATTCATGTAAGAGATTTTAACCATGAAATTGATTTTCAAAAAGTTGAGAAAGTAGTATCAAGCAAGTCCATGGTCGACAGGAATATAATTGAATCTTGTTTCATAAAAAGCAGTTTTGACAATAATATGAATATTTCCTTTGGTTTATATAAATTAGATCCATTTATAATTAATAGAATTTGGGTAGAATTTAATAATACACTGGACAGATAAATAGCTTGGGGGTGAGTTTTGCAAAGGACCTGTCCAAGTTGGGTCGCCGCGCGTCACGTGTTTAACCGTTGTGAGATCTGATAGTGAGGTGCTGGCCGACCCCTTATATAGCTTCCTTGGATGCTTCACTTTCATAGTTCCTTGATAATGTGAGTAGTCACGAAAGCGCTTGGAATTTCTCTATTCTTTCAGAGTGGTTGTTTTGCATATATTATATATATATATATATATATATATATATATATATATATATATATATATATATATATATATATATATATTATATATATTATATATATATATATATATATATATATATATATATATATATATATATATATATATATATATATATATATATATATATATATATATTCTCATAAATTTTACATCTTCTGAGAGAGATATTTAGGAGTTTGTAGACTCTTATTTACGGGCAGTAGTATAACATTAGTAGCCTAGGGTATTTCGTCAACATTACGTTAGCATGTGCCAGACGAATGATGTTTGATATGTTTATCCTGTGGTCTTTCTGTTTCTAATCCCATGAGTTTTCTTCTTAGACGTTCTCTTCCTCGATCATCTCTATTTGGTACTCTTCCTCTGACCTGCCTCTTGGTATTCTTCCTCTTGGTACTCTTTTTCGACTCCTAATTCCTCCCCTCATTCTCCAGGCTTCAGTCTAATTGCAAGTCGTGACTCGTCCACAAACATCATAGAAATGTCTCCCTCTAGGTCTAGGAAGATCATTTACATGCATTAGGAACACTAGGGGTTCAAAGAGTGATCCACGAGGCACTCCACTTATAACTTCTCCCTACCAAGAAGATAATGGACCCAAAAAAAGTGACCCTTGAGGTATTACATTGGTTTCTTCTCTCTCTTATGTCTCGTCTCCCACTGTAACTTAGCCATCCGTT